AAACTAGTAATAAGTCTTTTATTTATCTAAATGTTCTGGTTTACTATGACAAATTATTTTAGATGAATCGCTTAAAAGGTGATAATGATTTTGAGCCTGAGAAGTTATTTAAACTCCTAAATGTTGCCAACAATTTAATCCCTCAGTTGCCTCAACTCAGCTTTTTACATGGTACATTTGATCCAAATGTAATGCCTGAACCTAAGCAAAAAAAAATAGTACAAAGACAAGCCCCAGAGAAATTGGAGAAAAAAAAATTGCAACAAGTTAAAACAATAGATAAAGAGGAGGATAATATTAATGAAACGATTAACGTTTTAGAAAGTTTCTTGAAAAGGGAATATGAAGAAAATAGGCAAACACCTATTAAGTACTTTAATTTTGTAATTGACAGTGAATCTTTCGAAAGGACCATTGAGAATATGTTTTATTTTTCATTTTTGCTAAGGGATGGAAAAGCCTCTCTAGAAATTGGTAAGAATAAATATCTCACAATCAAATTGAAAAGTAATATAGTATATTTTAAGACAATGATGGTATACCAGTGGTAGCTCCAAAGTCTAAACGGGATCTAGACGAGTTTCGTAAAAAAGGGGGAGTTAATACACAAATGATATCTTCTATGGACATAGAACAGTGGCAGGTAAAAGAGAAAATAATCAATATTAAGCCTCCCATTCCAAAACGAGGATCTGAAAAAGAAATCTGAACTGGTAAAATCGAATTTATGAGATTAAAGACGATTCAGAATAATCGAAACTCTTCAAAATTAATTAGAACACTTAATTTAAATGTTAAAATACATTTATTTCAAAATTAATGATCAACTATGAGTTCATCCCTTATGAAAAAAGAAGTAATACTTATCTATTAAGCCTTTGATTCCAAGTCTAGGACCTGGAAGAATTTAATATAATTAAATAAAAATTAAAGGCATTTTTGGATGTTTTAAACTGTTAAAATTCAACGCAAAAACAAAAATTAATTTTAAATTCTTAATTGAAGGAATTAATACACAAATAATATATACTTCAGAGATTAAGAACTGAAAAGTATTAAAATAATAATCGTCAATCCTTGAATTCCAAATTGAGGACTTGAAAAAGAAATCTAAGTTTAGTAAATTCGAAATTAAAGAATATTCAAACCCAAGTTTGTCTATTCCATTAAAAATAAGTTGTTAAAACCTTAAAGAGAAATTTGAACTAGTGAAGCCTAAATGTTTGTTTTCGTTTTTATGAGTAAGTGAAAGTATTTACAATCAGTAGGAGCTTTTGTATAATTAAACATTTTTATTCAAATTGGACGTAAAAGTGCCAAATTAAAGGCCATTTATGAAAGCTTTTCAAATTGTTTTAAATTTTAAAAAAGCAGTGTGTAGGCAATCCGTCAAACATCCTTATTTAAAATTTGATAGGTTGCCCAACTTTTTATCCAAAATTTCATTAAATGTGTATTATACTTAATCGGTTGCCTAACTTGACTACACACATTTGAATTAATTCTCGCATCATTTTAAATAAGGATTGTCACACNAAAATCAATTTTGTTTTGATATAATTTTGCATGTAAATATTATTGCTAATTTGTTAACGCTTTTATCGTTGCCTATTTCGAGATAATGGATAATTTATTGTTAAGGAAAATGAGTGAGTACACTTGAACTTTGAAATGAATTGTTAAAAGATAACTAAAAAAAAACCGAAGGATTTTTAATTCAGTTAATGATGGCTAAGAACAAATGCACATGGAAAAATAATATTTTTTTATTGTTATTGTAATAAAACAATTTTATATAAGTAATAATAAATAAATTCTTTTATAGTCTTCTAAAAAAAATGTTGTTATGAATCATCAAAAGTCATCCTTCCAACCCCGTGATTTTTGAGATACCTTCGGTACTGTTTGTACCTCGAATTCTCTGCAAGTTGTTTCTTTGCTTCATCTTCTTTTTCTTTGTGCCACACCTTAAATTTATCCCTTATCCATAACTCCTTGTCAAGATATTCCTTTTTCTCACTGTCCTCCAGGACACTAAACTGTTGCTCGCCCATCTTTAAATATTTCCTAATCAAATACAACTTCTCCTCATCAGTGTATGGTTTCCTCAAGATGGTGTGCAGAAGAAACCACCTTGTATACCAATAAGCGTAATATAAAATGGTGAATGGTAACAGAAACAATCTAACCCATAAAATGCCATATATTGTGGGCTTAGCATAGGCCCCTTTTATGTCCATATTCTCCTCAATTATAGTCCTTATAACTAGTTCCATTTCCTCTTTCTGTTCGGCTTTATTTTTTCCCTTGGACTTCTTTTGGGCATTTTGGAGAATACCCTTCTGCTGGGCAATGTCTAAAGCTCGATTCCGGTACTTTGGCAGGGACACAAAGTATTTAATAGCAGTCTCATATCTTTGCCAAGCACTATAATACTGAATTATGGAAATCACGGAAATAGTTACGAATATAACTATGCGCACATCTACTTTTGGAGCCACTTTTCGCCTATAGTACCTATAATAGTTGGCATAGTATTCATCAGGATGGTCCAACATGTAATCATAGTCGTTCCTGGCCTCTTCATCTTTAAGTATCTCATATGCATTGGCTAGGACTTTGAACTGCTCTTCAGCTTGCAGTTTCTCTTCGATATCCCTGTACAAATCAGGATGGTACTTCTTGGCAAGTTTTCTATAACTTTTCGCGATCTCATTCTTAGTGGCTTCTCTACTAACCCCCAAGACGTCGTAACAGTTCAATTTACCACAGTAGATGCCCTCCAGTAGCTGTCCATTTGCACTTAAAACGATGAACGTAAGATACAGAATCGCCACAACTACTTCTTTTGCCATTTTAAGCTACACTAGAATTTAATACTGAACTGTAAAGATCTGGGCTCACTGGACACGTTGCATTTACAATTCACAGCTGATTTACCATTCAATATACAAAAAACTACTGTGACCAAAATGAACCAATAGCAGTTCGTTTATCACTTGTTTAGCAGTGCAGCCAATGGTTACGTATTAGAAAGTTTATAGGATACATTTTGCATTAAATCGTCACGCAAAATCAGCAAATTCCAGTCGGAATTTATGTAATAATCTTTTTTCAAATGTACATTTTGTACGAGCTTTGACAGGTAACTAATTACTAGGTCTTTTTAAAGATCAAAGTAGCTGACGACTTAGTAGCTCCTTCGACCATGACAGTAGTTCAAGTAGTTCGTTGATGGATCCTAACCCAACTTCTTATAAACGTCAGTGTACTTAGAATTTATCGAATTAAACATAAAAAATAGGAGAATTATCCATTTACTGTGGTATATTTGTATTAACTGAGATTGCAGGAGTTTATAGACACCTAGATAGCCACCAGAGACTTTGTTATTATAAAATACTTTTTAGGTTATAACGAGTGATTTTTAAAAAATGAGTGTTTTAAAGTGCTTTTTGAGTGAATTTTATTTTTATTTAACTAGTAACGTCGAATATAATAATAATTTGATAAAGTGTCACTCGAGAAAGTTATGTGAATTGGGTGATTTTAGTTTTTCGTTGCAATCAGTGAAAGGACTAAAAGGGGTAGAGTGTATTTTGAATAAATTAGCAGAAAACGAAATAGATAGAGATGATTTTTTAAAGTCTTTAGTTAGTGTACAATGGCCCTTAAAAATATCGAAGGCTATTTGGATAGATAATACGTTTCATGGTTTTTTTAATAAGCCTTCAGCATTTTTTGCCATCATACAGGGTGTTTTGGAGAAGAAAGACAACTATGGTCGTCACTTTTTGCATTCTCGTTATAAATTCAATTTCGAATTGCCTTTTGATAGTGAAGAAGTGGAAGGCAAGCAACCAAATGAGTTGAGAATGTTGGTTTTTTGTAATGCTCTAAATAATATTTTAAAATTTAGAGAAAGTGACGCAGAATTTGTTTCAAGCGAAAAAGTAGTGAAAGTTCGTTTTGTATCTAATAGGGTCCATTCGAATAATGATGTAATACTTTTGTGTGGTCCTGTCGTCAGTAAAAAAGACTCGAAAAAACTCCTCGTCACCGCGGAAGAGTTTCACAGGTTAGTCATGACAAAAGACGCTTACTTTTCTAAAAGAATATTAAAAACCTAGCACGTAATGTTTGTATTGATAATGGAAACGTTTTTTTAATAGAAAAAGGGCAGTAGATATGAGACTTATGGCCGAACACAAGTATGGCATAAGGCTCGCCCAAAATTGGCAAGAATTGTTTAAAAAGTTAGGAGAAGCTGCTGCTATAATAGAATTGCTACAGAATAAAATAAGCCAAGCCACAGTTGTGGATATTGACGATTATACAGTATCTAGTAGCAAAGGTTCGTCTTTAAACATTCTTTTTTTTTCTGCGTAACAAATTCGGTTTTCTATATTATTGTGATTGGTTTCTGTTTCTTCGTTTGGAGTAAACTGGAATCAATTGTTTTAATTGTTTTTTGGCAGATTTGCTCATTTGTTTCAGGTGCTTCTTTTATTTTATATAATTGTGGTCGTTTATCGACGTTATTTAGAAATTTCGAAAAGAAAGTTTCCGAAAAGGTGTACCCTCCATTGTCCAGCGATATTTCAGACGTTAACTTTGCTCTTTTAACAGAACCGGTGAGTTGTTCTTTAAAGATGCATATAACATATACATACATAAGTAGAGACTAGATACAATGTGTTGCTATTTGTGCTAAAATTGGCCATTGTTCTTGCTCAATATAGTGTGAAAAGTTCAGTCCGGTTTTTCTTTCCTCTGTTCTCTTGTTCTGAACAACCGACTGATTTAATTTCGAATTGTCGTTTGAACAATGAGCATTTTACAATAAAAGTCCAGTTGTGTTTATCATTATGATTATTATTATATTCCTACTTTACAAGACAATCATTTTGTAGTTTCGATAAATATTTTTACGAGGTTTTTTTAAACGGAAATTTCGTTGACTGCTG